TGTTCACCTCGTGATTTTTAAGTGAGTGAGTGTGTTTGTACCACTCATTAAATTTTATTTCTTCAACTTGCACTTGTATTGAATGAGGTCTTATTGAATTTAAAGAATGGCTGAATCCTTTCTTTTAGGCTGCACTAATTCTTTACTGTGACCTAATATTTCATTCAAGTAACACTGGGTGATGTTTTAACTTTGTTCGCCTCGTGATTTTTAAATGAACGAGTGTGTTTGTACCACTCATTAAGTTTTATTTCTTCAACTTCAATTGATCTTAACGTCCAGTATGGAATACAACTTATGTTTAACTGAGAGCTCCTTTAAATAACAATAATAATCCTTTGCATTTGATATAGCACCTAATCATGTCTTTGAGATGTCTCAAAGCGATTCACAGAATATACTGTAAAGTGAATTGACTGTATATTTTGTGGGCTAAATGCGTCAGCCAATTGTCGAATGAACAGTTGTGGGTTGAAATGACCAATTTATTATTTAAAAAAACATTTTTTTTAAAGAAATTATTACCCCCAGAAAAGCGATCCACCAATCGACTTAACAACTGGATTCCTGCTTCCTGCAAGGTAAACAGAGGCGTGTGGAGTAAGGAAACTTGCCCAACATTTCGCCCTGCTGGGAATTGAATCCAGGTCTCTCGCTTGCGAGGCAAGTGCTCTAACTGCTGAGTTACAGGACTCCTAATGTTGTCCATTTAATTATTTTGGTCAGATTTGTTTGAAACCTCATCAAGAAGCTTGTATCATCATTATAATAATCCTTGCATTTGATAGAGCGCCTTATTATGTCTTGGAGACGTTTCAAAGCCCTCCACCGAATATACTGTAAGGTGAATTGACTATATTTTGTGGGTGAAACGCGGCAGCTAATTGCGCACAGCAGTGTCCCACAAACAGTCATGAATTGAAGTGACCAATTTATTATTTTTTTTGTTGGATTGTGTTGGATCAGTATCACTCGAATTGCCTTCCTCTATATCATTTGTGACTAGTAAAACAGCAGAAAATCGGAAAACAATCCCCTAGTCAAAATCTGTTCACTACTTCCTCACAGATTAGGGCCGTATTCTCTGGATTCTCCTTAGACACTATTTGGTTCTTTCCATTTTATGGATCATTTTGAAAGTGACAACAGAAAATTACTGATAATTCGCCCACAAAATATACAAGTCAATTCACTTTACAGTATATTCTGTGAGGCGCTTCGAGACGTCTCAAAGATGTGATGAGATGCAAGGATTGTTACAAGGATTATTATTATTCACCCAGTGAATACAGAAGATTGTTTTGCTTTATAGTGAAATCATGTTGATTGTAATAGCACATAATTGTTCAACAAAATTCATGGGAATTTGGGAAATCTGATTTGCCTCTGCTTTCTAATCAATGAGCCAATTTTCAATGCAGCATGCTGCAGTCCTATTAATTCCAGGGGCCTTAATCGTTTTTGAAAGCTTCACGTGGAAAACTACTGCAAAATCCAAGTGGATTCTTTCCACTGAAATTTCCAGTCATTCAACTATTTCCACAAAGAATTCCAGGAGATTTGTGAGGCATGATGTGCCTCAAAAGTTATCCTAGCTTCCCTTTCTGGGCCTCAATATGCTTCATAGTATTTTATTGCTACCAGTAGGCTAAGTGGTCTGTCTGCACTTGTGGCTGATGTTTTATTTTGCATTATTGGATGTTAGACATTGCGCTCTAGTGTTTAGATATAAGTCTCGTTTGTGGAGTCAACTATATCCTCAACAATTTCCTTTAATAATAATCCTTCAATTTGATATAGTGCCCAAAATGTTGAGATAATCTCAAAGCACTTCAAGGTTTCTGTGTATCTTTAGGCCTCTCGTTTTCCTGTCCACATCCTTTCCCTTGGTGATATCATCCACAGAGATGGGTCAAGTTCCATACTTATATCTTTCCATCTCAACCTTTGATTCCAGTCCCCCTCTGCTGTTCTGATAATTTGTTTGTAAGATATCATCATAGATGAGCCTTAACTTTCTTCAAGCGACAAAACCAAAGCTATCCTAATTGACTTCTGCCTAGTTATCTCAGGCACCAACCATATCAGCATTCCCAGTTGTTCACTGCAGCTCATGGAACCAGTATAAATTTTGTTGTTTTATTTGACCCTCACCTCTCCTTTTCCCATCTTTCACTAGAAATTTTCGAAAACATCTGGACACTCCATCCTTCTTCATTTTCAAAACCCACTTAAAAACCTATCTCTTTGAACCCATGCTTTTGTGTATATCTGCCTACTCCAGTATCACTGCTTCTCAAATCAATGTGCACCAAAAGACATTAATACTTGGAGCAAGTCAGAAACTACACTGAAGTTGAAAATTTGTTCACTTTGCTTTTTACGGGCATGAAGCACTCTGTGACGTTACCCTGCATCAAGAACACTATATAAATGCAAGTTGTTGTTGATTGGTAGAGAATGCTTGTAGTACCCTGCTCAAATGATAAACATGCCTATCTGTTTCTTGTAGAGCATTCTGTGTACCAACTATGTGGATCTATGCTGTAACAAATTGGACGTCAGGTTTTTGATGACTGGGGTTGTGCTGAGTTTTCTTTATCTCAGGATAGCAGATTGGTGTTCGCTACAAATACACAGTCGATACACTTCACAGTAAAATCCTGTGAAGCACTTTGAGACATGACGATGAGATATCAAATACAAGGATTATCATTAATTTGCTATTGATTTCCAGTGCCTTGAGGTGGGTAAGGGGAAAAAAATCAGCCAGGGTCCTGGAGCCCATTGCTGGTGGATGTGCATGTATGGATGAGGATAGGATGTGGTTCAGCTGTTAAATATCCTGGTGGTTAAATAACTTGCTAACCCTCACTATTAAGGTTCACATGTGAATAATGGTCACATTACTTGAAGGAGACCAACCCTAATGAAAACTGGTATCCCAGTAGAAGAGAAAAAGGAGTCATAACCACTTTTAGAAAAGGTGAAGGGGTAGAAAATTGGCAAGGGGGGATAGAAAATTGTAGTTATAACAGCAATCCTACACCTTGTGTACTTAGAAAGCATGGTAGTGGAGGAGAGGAAAGCTTATGGAAAAAGGGGCTTTGGGCCAAAGCCAAAAAACTACCGTTTGGTGTAAACCTACTTTTCAAGTGCAGCACTAGTTCTTTTACATTGCTGTTTAAAACATGTGTCAATGTTAAATGCTCAGAATTAGTGCAAAAAATTTTGTTTACTTCATTCTGGCTCTCATCCATCATGCCATTTGGCACTTTCTGTTTGCTACCTTTCTTATACCAATATAATGGTCTCCTCACATTGATGTGAAAGAACACCTTTTTTAAGGATCTCTCCCAGAAAAGCAAAGCCTTACTTTGACCACAACTGATATTGAGTGGATTGTGATTTATTGTCCCACATATTTATTCAATTAGTTCTTTTGAATACTGGGAGCTCTGTAGAATATTCCTTTTCATGTTCTATAACGTGGAAAGGAAAGTCAGTACTCAAGAGTACACTGGAAGTGATAATTAACAGCTGCTCATGTTTATTTAACGTTTTATCTTGAATTATTTTGGTGTTTTAATGCCAGGATACATTTTTTATTGCTGTGGTTATTGTACTGTAAGTGAAAGGAAAGCCTTTCTGACTCTTTGTAGGCCTTCAGCTATTGTGAGGGGTGGGGGGTGAAGAGAAGTAGTCCTGAAGCCTCCTCTTCTCTCTCCTTTCCTCTCTATGGTTCTATTCATCTAATGTTGCTTCTTTGTTGAGTGTTCTTGCTTCTGATTGCTATCTGGTGATGCTTCTGGAAAATAGTTTGCCTACAAATACTGTCTTGCAGAAAAAACTCTGAAATGCTTTGAGACATTTTGATGTGTACATACAGTATCACAGTAATGCAAAGCTGCCAGTGCTATATTAAAGAAAGCTATATTAAATTATATAAGCCTTTAATATAATTTGAGCATTCAGCAGTAATAGTATGTAATTAGAATCGTAAATAATTAGCAGTCAGAAACCTGCAAAGGATTAATACTGTTGTGCAGAGGAGAATGGTCTGGCTTTGATAGCTTCAGAAGGTTTGGAAATATTTAGTTCAGGTTCACTATGAATAGTCACTTGTGTAAGGTGGTGGAGCACTAGAGAACCAGTGGCTCTGCAACCCCAACTGCCTGTGGAGAGGAGAAGGAATTTTAATAAACAGGAAGCAAAATGTCAGTTATTTTCACTGTCAACTAAATTATAGTGCTAGTGCAGTGGGCTCTTAAGTTAAGAGAACTGGGTCTTGATTGACTTTTAATGGAGTGGGGCAGGGGAAGAGTAGTCATGTCAGACTTAGCTAGAATATGTGGGAGTGTCTTTACCACTCTGATAACCAGGGAGCAGCATGGACATTGCCCTCACAGTAATTGCCAATGTTACTAGCCACTAGTTTAGTGAGGACTCCTTTAACTAGTATGATTTACATTGTTTTGGCTGGAGCGGGTTACCCTAACATATGAATGATGATGCCGATTTTAATCCAAGAAAACACAAAGCGGCTTTGTGCAATTGGTCTTCATACTAAGAGAACAACACTTGGCTATGTAGAACTTAAGTTGTAGTTGGCAGGCAACAATTAATATTACTTACCCTTAGTTATTTTCTCCCTTTAACTCTTTAAAATATTAACCACTTGTGGGTTACAACACATTAGTATACAATGTTACCCTTTAACATTTGGTGCTCTTTCGATTTAAACAAGACACAGTGTGGTATGGGAATAATTGAATGGTTAATAGTTACCAGTTGCTTTCCTTGGTGGTTTGCAATGTTTCTTCTTGCAAATTTAGCAGGAATCTGCAAAGTGTCTGTCCTCAACAGTTTTCAGACTACAGTTTTGTATTTAACAAATTGCAGTGGATCTGTGTGTTTGTCATAGTGGCTATTTATCTTTGTGGAACATTGTGTATAATTCAGAGATCGTGATTTTCCTTTTCCTTTGTCTCCCCTTCAAGAAAAACTAACCTTTGAAGGAGTCGTGGTACAGCGTGCAGAATGCAGACCAGCTGTCAATGAATCTTATATGAGGTTGAAAAGGTCAGTGATAGCTTTTTGAACTAAATTATAATGTTTTAAATTTATTGTTTGGTCCCTATAGTCGACACTGCGTTAAGCAGTTGTAGTTTGATGCAATCCTATCAAAGTACTTAGGGTTTAGCTGGTCTCAGCCAGGTTGGTAGTAGGGGCAATACAATTGGCATCACCACTTCTATATCAGAAAGAAGGTAAACACTAAGCCAGAGTTATATCATTATCTTCATCCAGCAATGTCTGCTAGAAAATACATGTTAAATGGTAGATCAGAACAGGATTTGCTTTGCCTGTGATACCCTCCATGTTAGTTTGTTGACACTCACTGTCTAGGCTCACATGAGATGAATTGTCACTTGGGAAAAGTATTGACAGACTGCCATCACCCATGAAAACATGAAAAAATGACCAAAAAAATCTATTTGCAATCAGCATTACTGATTACAGTACTGCCAAGGAAAGAATATATGATTGCAATTAAGCTTAACTGTCTCGTATAATCTGGTAATATATGATGTATATTGCATTTTATAAATTTACCTGTTTTAAGACCTAACATATGGCCTCTTTTGGATCTTACATTGTGAAAGTAACATCACTGTCGGGTTCAGCAAACCTGAATGATGACTTTTCGTCAATATAGTTTGAAGGCTGTATTCTAAGTCCAAAATATTACTGATCAGAATACTCCCCAGTGTGTTGACCTTTGCAGGTTTCTGACCTCTAATTATTTAAAATTTCTAATTGCATAATTTTATTGCTGAATGTTTAAAATATATTAAATGCCTATATATTTGAATATAGCTTTATTTATTATAATACTGGCAGCTCTGCATTACTAGCTGACTGTAAACCAGTTTGCACCCTCAAAAAACTAAGTTGAATAGCTTTGAATCAAAGTACAATTTAATTTAAACAAATAGTTATGCTACTACAGGAGGTACCAAAGAGGTAAGGGGGTACCTACCGTAACTAGCCTAGTTACAGTAGGTACCCCCCTATCTCTATGACCTCCTCTCTCCTAAAAACAGTGCGCATGGCTTTCGTTCCTCCGGATCTGGCCTCCTCCTTGTCTCCCGAGTCCTCCACTCCACCCTCGGTGACTGTGCCTTCAGCCACTATACCCCGAGGCTCTGGAACGCCCTTCCTCACTCCCTTTGCCTCGCCCCCTCTCTTCCTATTTTCAGGTCTGATGAAGACCTTTCTTTTCAACCGCGCCTTTGGTCACCTTCCTCCCCCTCCTCCTGGCTCAGCCTCGGGATCTGTTACTGTGAAGCGCTCTGAGACTCCGTCCGGCATGGCGGGCGCTATAAAATCCAAGTTGTTGTTGTTGTTTGTAGGTTGGTAGATGTTGGGGTTAAATGGTTCTTTTTTATGTTGTTTGTTTTAATGACTTGAATTCCTACCTACATAGAAGTTAATGACGAGTTGTGTTTTTTTAATTTGCTTATTATCATGATATTCCAGAAGCAAACAATACCAAATTTGTGGGTCAATCAAATAATAGCTAATTGTTAGGTAATATTACCTTGACATTATCTATTAATGTGTAGAGGGAGATGCTAAATATCTTAAAATGGATGTAGTTTGACAAGCTCATCCCACCTTAAATTTATATTTAGATCAAAACAAAGGATATTAACTTCACTATCACAACAATTTCTTGCTAATTTTCTCCTTTAGATTTTCTTCCGTTTGCTTTTCTCTTCAAGGGATTTTTCATTCACTTTATTCCCTAATTGGGGTTGAATTACAACAGCTCTCAAATAGCTGGTGTAAAAGCTCAGTATAGCTTTGACAGTCAGTGCTGGCAGAGGATTTTTCAAGTGGATCTGATTTTTATATATTGGATCGGGTCCACGTGCACTTTTTTTTTACAAACTAGAACACGCTGCAATTTGGAGAAAATTTGTCATCAGAATTCTTGAATCATAGACCTATTACTGTGCCAGCTCCAACCTACAGATTGATCAACATTTCAAAATGTTGCCCAAAGTTAACTTGCAAATTCAAAAGGCTGTAAAATGTCTTCATTTACTGCTTGTGGACCTCCCCAACTCCTCCCTCCACAGGCTGCAGATCATCAGAACTCTGCAGCCCGTGTCCTCTCCCACACCAGGCTCCATGACCCTATCACCCCCATCCTTGCCCAACTCCACTGGCTTCCCATCACACAAAGAATACAGTTCAAGATCCTGGTCCTCATCTTCAAAGCCCTCCATGGTTTTGCTCCCCCCTACCTTTCCGACGACCTAACCCCCTGCCATCCTGTTCACTCCCTCTGCTCAACGGGCTCTGGCCTGCTTCACGTCCCTGCCTTGCTCGCCCCACTATCAGCGGGCGGGCCTTCCGCCACTCCGCCCCACCCTCTGAAACTCCATCCGCAGTCCCTCTGTCTCGCCTCCTCCCACGCCACCTTCAAGACCCATGCCTCCCCCCTCCTCCACCCGACCCTCAGCTCGGGTCCGAAACTCAGCACCTTTGGGAAATCCTCCCGACATGAACAAGCGCGCTAGATAAATGTAATTTTGTTGTTGTTGTTGTTCATTTGTTTATTATAAAGATGAAGTACTATCTGTACCTTCAATTATCCCATTAGAATTA